AAAACAAGGTAGTAAAAAAAAAACGCAGGCAGAGAGCAAAAAGGAAAAAGAATTTTTAAAAATGAGAAGATTTTAAGGAACATTTTGGATAACATGAAGTGTAACATCTGCATTATGGGAATACCAGAAAGACAAGAGAGCAAGCAAAGGATCGAGAACCTTTCTGAAGAAAGAATGACCAAAAACTTCCCTAATCTGGTGAAGGAAAAAGACACACAAGTCCAGAAAACTCAGAGAGTCCCAAAAGAGTTGGACCCAAAGAAGCTTACACAAAGACACATCATAATTAAAATGACAAGGCTTAAAGGCAAGGAGAGAATCCTAAAAGCCAAAAGAGAAAAGTAGGTAGTTAAATACAAGGGAGAACCAATTAAATTGTCATCTGATTACTCAACAAAAACATTTCAGGCCAGAAGAGAATGGTGCGAAATATTCAAGGTGATGAAAAGCAAAGACCTACAATCAAGGTTACTTTACCCAGCAAGGCTATAAGTTCAAATCGAAGGAGAAATAAGGAGTTTTCCAGACAAGAAAAAGTTAAGGGAATTTGTTAACAACAAACAAGTACTGCAACAAATGTTAAAGGGCTTGCTTTAAGAAGAAGAAAAAGAGAAAGAAAAAATAACAGAGGAAAACAGTCTAACAATAAAATGGTACTATATACATATCTATCAATAATCACATTAAATGTAAATGGCTTAAATGCTCCAACAAAACATAACATAGGGTAGCTGAATGGATAAGAAAACAAGACCCATATATATGCTGCCACCAAGAGACCCATCTCAGATCAAAAGATACACACAGACTGAAAGTGAAGGGGTGGAAAAAGATATTTCATGTAAATGGAAAAGAAAAAAAAGCTGGGGTAGTAGTACTGTATCTGACAAAATGGACTTTAAAACAAAGGCTATAGTGAGAGACAAAGAACACACTACACGATGATAAAGGGAACAATCCAGCAAGACGATATAACCCTAGCAAACATTTACGCACCCAACATAGGAGCACCTAAATATGTAAAGCAAATCTTGATGGACATAAAGGGAGAGAGTGATAATAATATAGTCATAGTAGGGATTTGAACACCCCATTGACTTGAATGGATAGATCTTCTATTGGATACAAAATTTTGTATCCATCTGGATACAATATTAATATCCAGAAATCAGTTGCATTTTTATAGACCAATAACAAACTAACAAAAATGGAAATTAAGAAAACAATCCCATTCATAGTTGTTTCAAAAAGAATACAATACCTAGGAATAAACCTAACCAAAGATATAAAAGACCTGTACTCAGAAAATTATAAGGTACTGAAGAAAGAAACTGAAGGAGATACAAGTAAGTGGAAGTGCATACAGTGTTCATGGATAGAACAAATTAATATCATCAAAATGTCCATACTCCCCAAAGCAATCTATAGGTTCAATGCAATTCCAATCAAGGTTACAATGACATATTTCACAGAACTAGAACAAATATTTCAGAAATTTATATGGAACCACAAAAGGCCCTGCATAGCAAGAGCTATTCTGAGAAAGAAGAACAAAGTTGGAAGAATCATACCACCTAATATCAAACTATATATTACTGTAAGTCTATAGTAATCAAAACAGCATGGTACTGGCATAAAAACAGACACATAGATCAATGGAACAGGCTAGAGAGCCCAGGAATAGATCCATACTTTTATAGTCAATTAATGTTTGACAGAGGCAGCAAGCACATACAATGGGCTAAAGATAGTTTATCCAATAAATGGCATTGGGAAAATTAGACCAATATGTGCTAATGAAACTAGACCACCTTCTTACACCACATACAAGAATAAATTCAAAATGGATCAAAGACTTAAATGTTAGACCTGAAACCATAAAAATCATAGACGAAAACAGAGGCAGCAAATCTCAGACATTGCTTGTAGCAATATTTTATCAGATATATCTCCCTGGCAAGGGAAGCAAAAGAAAAAAATAAATAAATGAGACTACCTCAAACTAAAAAGTTTTGCACAGCCAAGGGAAATATCAACAAAATAAAAAGAAGAACCCACAGAAATGGAGAACATATTCACCGATACATCTGATATGGGGTTAATGTACAAACAACCCAATTAAAAAATGGGCAAAGGACATGAATAGACACTTCTCCAAAGAGGACATACAGATGGCCAATAGACATATGAAAAGATGCTTAATGTCATTAATCATCAGAGAAAGGCAAAGTAAAACCACAATGATATATCATTCCATACTTGTCAGAATGGTCATCATCAATAAATCAACAAACAAGTGCTGGTGAAGAAGTGATGAAAGGGAACCCTTTTGCACTGTTGGTGGTAATGCATATTGGTGCAGCTGCTATAGAAAGCAGAAAATTAAAAATAAATCTGTCTTTTTACCCAGCGATCCCACATCTGGAAATATATCTAAAGGAACCTAAAACACTAATTTGGAAGAACATAAGCACCTCTGTGTTCATTGCAGCATTATTTACAATCACCAAGATATGGAAGCAGCCCAAGCGTCCAACAAAAGATGAGTGGATAGCCAACCATGGGACATTTACACAGTGGAATTCTACTCAGCTGTAAAAAAGAAGAAAAGTTTACCCTTTGCAACAGTACAGATGGACCTGGAAAACATTATGCTAATTGAAATACCCAGCAGAGAAAGACAAATAACATGATTTCACTCATATGTGGCATCTAATGAACTGAACCAACAAGGAAAAGAGGGGGCCAGACTCCTAGATGGAGAGCAGGCTGACAGCTGGGGCACAGAGGTTAGAGGGTGGAGGAATTTAGTGAAAAAGGAAAAGGACTCATGGTCATGGATGACAGGGTGGTGATTGCTGGGGTCAGGGGTATAAGGGGACTAAATGATAATGGAAAAATACAATAAAGATTAAATTAGAAAAAGAAAAACTAAATGTGGTATCAAGGGGGACCTAAAAAAAAACTGGAGTTATCTTCTGGAGGGCGAGCTCCTTGTTGTACAGGTTTCCCTCGCTAGGTAGGTGTCCTAGGAACACATCTGTATCATGTACCAGCTGGTGCTGTGAGAGACTGTGTTGGCTTCATTGAATTTTTTCTAAAGACTCTTTCAACACCTTTCTCCCTTTCATGATGGGGGATTTACAAGCGCACCTGCCCGCACCTCACTGAGTGTTCACCAGTTTTTGATCAAAAACAGCACGATCCCCATGCTCCACCCTTTGTAGTCACCTGATCTAGCCCCAGGAGACTGTTTCATTGTTTGTTTCCCCAGATGAAAAAAGGCATCAAAGGGAAATGTTTTGCTGATGTGGAAGAAGTGAAACAAAAAAATGGCAGAAGCATTAAAAGGCATCAAAATCAACAAGTTCAAAAACTGTTTTGAGCATTGGAAAAAAATGTCTGGATAGATATAGTGTATCAAATGGAGAGTACTTTGAAGGTGGCTGAAGTTCAAACATGTAAAAAAATATACACAATTTTTTACAAATAAATTTCATTTTTGGGGGGTGCCCCGTCATATGTGAACAGTAGAATATTAGTCACCCTTAAAAAGGATGTAAATTCTGACACATGCTACAACATGGATAAACATTGAAAACATTATGCTCAGTGATATACATCAGTCACAAAGGAACAAACATTGTGTGATTGTATAAGGTACCTAGAGTGGTAGAATGCACAGAGACAGAAAGTAGAATGGTGGTTAACAGGGCCTGGGTGGAGGGTGAGTGCGGAGTTATTATTTAATGGGTCCAGAGCTTCAGTCTATGCTGATGAAAAGTTCTGGAGGTGGATCTTGGTGATGATTTCACAACAATGTGAATATAGTTAAAAACCATTGAATTGTTCACTTAGATGTAATTAAAATTATTTTTAAAAGAATTTAAAGGAAACCATCAAGCTTAGAAGGATCCAGGGGGTACCTGGCTGTGTAGAAAGTGGTAAAGGTGGTAAAGGAAAGTGGGCCACATCTCTCTCTTTGCTCCCCTTCCCCTGCAGCCATCCATTCTCCACCCTTCTCTGCTCTGCTTTCCCTCCTGAGCCCCATCACTGTGCCTCTTGCCTTCCAGCTTCTAGCTGCAGTCACTTAGTGGGGAGGCATTAGTAGGAGAATTAGTAAGGAGGTTGGAGGCTCTGTTTCCCTGCTTCCCTCCCTGCATTATTGCTGCCTGGCAACTGTATCCTTTGACTGAAGGTCCCCCAGCCCACACTGGCCCCAGATTCTGGGGGTCCTTCCATTTACCCCTTCAGATGTAGGGTAGTAGCAGCTCCCACTGCCACTAGCACAAAAACTGCACTATCTCGTGTGATTTTCCCACTCCTTACTAAAACCTTTGTAAATAGTCCTTTTATTAAATTCCCCTCAAATTACCTAAGTTGAGTATAGCATCTGCTTCTTGCTGGACTGTGGCTGATACAAGGATATTTACAAAGACCAAAATCTGGGAAATACTGACACAAAGAAAATCTACCTATATTCCGCGAAGAGCCGTCTGATCCCCCAAACCTTCCAGATATCCAGAGAGGGCAATCGTCAGGGAGGTGAATGACACCTGCTTCTGCCCCACCCTTCATCCCCTCTCTGCTTCCAAGCACTTCTTTCCAATTGCTCTTTTAATACAGAGACTTCAGCATCTACTGTTTTTTTCCAATCCCACCGACTGTGTATCACATTTTTTTGTATGTAACAGAATTCCATTCCAATAAAACAATAAATGATTCAGATATTTTTTGGAGATTTATTTTTGATAAAAAGCATTTTTCTTGTATATGTTTCTATTGAATCCTAGGTACAGATGCCCGAGGATGTGGTGCACTTGCTTTTAAGTATGAGTAAGAAAGCTGAAATGATATCTACGCAAGACTCTTCAAATTGGCAATAGAGACAAAGCTCTGTAAAATGAGTTTCCCTTCTAAGCTGGTGAATTATGGGGAAAATAACGAAGAGTTTTGCCTTCCTTTTTAGTAGTAATGGCCTAGAATAAGTTGAACCTCTCTCCTCCAAAATCCAGGGCCTCTGTGTCCTGCCCAGGCTTGTACTATACACATGTAGTTTTCAGGTCACGACAAACAGTCACACCTGGTTGTATGTTCACTGGCTCAGGTAAGCAGACTGTCCTTTTACTGCAAGAGAAGAGCGACAAGAGGGTATGTGCTCAGGGAAGGTTCATTTTGGTCAGGAGAGAGGGCTAGGAGCTCTTGTATTTTCATGATGTCAGGTAAAAGAAGTCTATAGCCATATACTACAGGAGCCTGGTGTCCCCGAAGGGTCTGGGGTGGTAAGACTTAAAATATAAAGACCTGCTAGAGGCAGGGTGTAAAGGGGATGGGGAGTCTCGATTCACACCCATGAATGTGACTAGTGGATGCTAAGTAGGAGGAAAATGTAATTAGAGCTCTTTATTCCAATAAAATCTTATATAGAAACCAATAACACTTATCTAGATGATAAGTAGATAGATAGATGATGATAGATGATAGACAAAGATTGATTAGAAAGAACAGATAAAATGGAGTTTCTTATACTAAAGTAAAAATGAGGATTTAAGAGTTCACCCTCTTTGGATTCCTAACATTCCCAACCCAAGATGGCCTTGCAGGAGTATCAGGAAAAGCCCGGGTTGCTGTCATCTCAGCACTGAAGAAGCTAATCACTCATGATGAGATTGAATCTCAACAAGCATCACCTCTAAGGTTAGGATTGGTCTTTATGAGTGTGTCTGGGATGGGGTGGATACTGGGCTTACTTGTCATTGACGGGCAAAGGAGCGGTGCAGAACTTCCCAACAATGGGAGATCGATCAGTTCTCCAACCCCAGTGAGAAGCTTGAAACTTGAGATTCACTTGGTGTATCTGGCACTGAGGGTTGGGATGCGCTAGGACTCCTCTCCCCCGCAGTTGCTGTCTAGGTCTGCAAGGGAAAGGGAGAGTAAGTTATGTTGAGCTTCTGGCCTTTGCTTCCCCTCGGTCCCTATGGGGCTCTGCTGGTAGCACTAGTTAGCTGTCAAACACAAAAGTTAGCTCCTTGAAAGTGACTATGACCCCAGCTAACCCCTCTGCCCACATACCCACAGCTTTGAACATGACTTGGAAAATATTTGATTTTTTTTTTAAGTAAACAAGTAGACACTGCAGCAAAATAGTAGCTCTTGGATTTTTACATCTGGAAAAATGTCCCTCATTCTTAGATGCCTAGTTGGAAAAAATACTCACTTTCAGATCCACCAACCTTGAAGCAGAGCCCTCTTTAGGGCATTCGGGTCAAAGGATTTTGTGTGAAGACTACTCTACCCTATTTTATCTTTTCTATTTTTTTCTTTCACACCTTGTCACACCACCAGTTGAAGCGAAACAACACAGCACAACATGCTGCCACTTCACCCAAAAGCGGTGTTTTTACTTTGCCTTTTCTTGACAGCTCAGTGGGTCATTAGGGAAAGGCCCAATGAGTGCTTTTAAAAGGTGTATTTTATCTTATTTTATTTTTTTAATGGAAAAAACTAGCTGATTCTATAATTATTATCAATGCCAAATGAGTTGTTAAATCAATTAAAATTTATTGAATTAAGCATAAAGTTACTTTCACATTTGTCTTCAATCATAGTGAATACAGTTCTTATCATAAAGACATAGTCTTTGGAGTTTAAAACATCCCCAACTGCAAGATTATATATAGGAAACTCTCATTATTGTTTAGTGATAGTGGACTTGTTAATCAAATTAAAATAATTCTATTATGCAGAACAAAATAAAATGGAAATAATTTATTCATATCGAAATCATCTTTATTTATAAAATACCATCCTGAGAATATAATTCTGTTTTAATTTGAGCATAAGTATAATCACTTAAGTAACAGTTGTTACTTAAACCATTCCTTTTATTTTACATGCTGGAAATGTTTTTGAGATATTTCAGAAAGAAATAAGAAAATGGCTCACTGTAAGAAGCTGCTTGGGTGGAGAGGCTCGCAGGCCAGGAGCAGAAGGGTGCCGTGAGCGGCCTGGCCTGGGTAGGGTAAATTTTCTCAGAAGAAATTTGGGGGCTTCACAGAGTTATGGAAAGTAGGGGAAAGACCACCCACAAACCTCCCTCTCCCCCCCACTTTTTAATTTCTGTACTGCAAGAGAAAAACAAAAACAAAAACAAGGAATTGACGGTAATGATGTTCTGAGAGCCTTCAAAAGAGTAATAGCAGTCTCTCGGGAGAGGGGGGAAGGACTCTGTGGGTGTCCACTGGGGTCACTCAGGGAGTCTCTAAAAGGAGAGCTGTTGGAGTGCAGTCGATAGTATCGTAATTGACACCTATGTGTAGTATCAGGTGGGTGCTAGACTTATTGAGGTGATTGCTTAGAAAGTTATCTAAATGTCAAATCACTGGGTTGCACACTTGACACATATAATATTGTATGACAACTGTAATTGACAATAAAGTTTTTTTAAAAAAGTGTAGCTGTCGAGGCGATGCCCAGAGGCTCTGCTGCGATCGGTCTGGGCTGGGGCTTAGCGGCAGTAGTTTTCGAAGCTCTCCAGGTGATTCTGCTGTGCAGCCGGAGCGGTGTGTCATGGTCATGACTCCGGCCAGCATGGGCTCATCTGCCATTGGGCTGGAGAGGTGATGAAAATACCCTTCTAGAAGTGACTCACCCACGAAGGTTTCTGAAGAAAATTATGTATAGCTACGGTCTGCTGGGCTCACGTAGGCACCTGAAGATGCCTGTCGGGGCCCTGCCTGCCTGCCATATTCACCAAGGTGCGGCCTTGGTGAGCTGGAACTCCAGCTGGCAGCGGGGTGCTTGGGAGCCAAAAAGTAATGCTTCTTCCGGCAGAAACTTGTCTTCCCTGATAGCACAACTCATGGGCAGCCCTTCAGCCTGAGAAATGTTTCCAAGCCCAAATCTGATCCAGCCATACTCCTGTTTAAAACTCCCAGTGGCTCCTCAAACTGCTCTCAGGATAAAAATCAAAATCCCTAATTTGTCTTTCAAGGCCCTGCCTGGCATGGCCCTGACCTGCCCCTCCAGCCTCCTCTCATGGGGCTCGCCCACTTGCTGTCCCCTCCCAGTGTCATATTCTCATTAACCCTGGACCTGGGCAACTCCTGAGAATCCTTAAATCTCTACTCAAATATCACTTCCTCACACTTGGTCAGGTGCTGTCTTACACACTCTCATAGCACCCGCCACTGTTGACAATTGTGCACTACTCCTGCAGGCCCTATTTCTCAGATTCCTCTGCCAGCAGATTTCTGGGGAGAATCGTGCCCTGTTCTGTGCTCTGCCAACACTACCCCTGGCTTTGTCCCTGTCGCCCTGGGGTGGGAGTAGCTCCTCTTGTGGCTGATTTCTGCATTGCCTCTCCATCTTCCCATCCTTTTGGGTTTTCAGCTCTCCCAGCACATTTGTAATTAGTTTCTTGAGTTAAAATCCCTCTTTTGAACTAGGTGGCTTGGGCTCTGGTTTCCAGACTGGGCCCTGACTGAGATGCTGATGTATCTGATTAGTTTGTGTCCTGCTGGTTTGTGAGTAACTAATCAATTGCTTTTTGGAGAAACATAACACTGCTGAGTTCCTTTCTCTGCCTGGCGTGTGATGTCCTGGGGTTGAGGTCCTCTGCTCTTCCATCTTGAGCTTGGTTCCAACCAGCTGCCAGGTCCAAGTGTGGCAACAAAGGAAGGGAACACTCAGCCCTAGGTCTGGGAACAGGCACCATCCAGCATCAAGCCTGCCGGCCCTCGCCTTGCACTCATTTGCTAGCTGACACTCAGCCTGCAATTCTGTCCTGGTAAGTCACCCAGTACTGCTCCCCTACCCAGGAGTGGGTGCTTCCCAGGCTCTGGCCAGACCTTCCTGGGCTTGTCGCTACAGTTCTCCTAAGTGCTGACATCCCTGATGCCCCAGTCCTGGATTTCTGAACACTGTTTCCTCTCAGGGACTCAATTTCTATGTTTTTACCACCTGTTGAGATAGCCCAGCACTGCTGCCTGCCTGCCTCATCTGCTCTTGTCTGAATACACTAAACTTGGACGCAGTACTGACCCCGAACCTAGGACAGTTGCCCAGTGTGTGTTTATGGTAGAGTCTGCCCTCACCCTCAGCACCAGCCCAGTGGGCTTGGCTCACTCATCAGTGATGGCACACCAGTGTCTGTCCTGGGATGTGTGTGTAAAATAAAACGGTCTCCTAATGCCCTGGCTTGTTTGGCTCAGTGGACTAATCACCGGCCTGAAAACCAGAGGGTCGCTGGTTCAATCCCAATCAGGGCACATGCCTGGGTTGCCGGTTTGGTCCCCAGTTGGGGGCACATGGCACAAGAGGCAACCACACATCGATATTTCCCTCCCTCTCTTCCTCCTTCCCTTCCCCTCTCTCTAAAAATAAATCATATATTTTTTAAAAAACAAAACATCAAGGAGAGAGGCCAGCTGTGAGGAACACTTACTTACATGGTGATCTGAGCTGAGGAGGTGACGTTGCTGCTAAAGAAAGTGACCACGATGTTGGTGTCCTTGTTTCTTGCCTCCTGCAAGTGAAACTCCACAAGGCTATGATGCACTAGGAAACCAAAGCAGAGTAGACAGCTGAGTCACAGGCTGGTGGGTGCAGTGCCCAAAAAGCCCCAGAAGGAGAACATCAGTGTGATTAGGAAGCTCAGCTCTACTTCTCAGTAGTTGTAGGACCTGGAGCAGATTACCTGTCATTGCAGATCCTCAGCTTCTTCAAGTATAAATTAGGGAAAATAAAAATAGATACCACAGATCTGAATGAGAATGAAATGAGTTACTATACATGAAGTCCTTAGATAGTACCTGTGCCTAAGAAGCATTCAATACATGTTAGTTTTTATTATTACTTGTAATGCTAGAATGCCCCACACCTCCCTATTTGGCGACATTGTTTGGTGTGACTTTGAAAGAACCCACACCAAACCAAAGGGTCTCTTATACTAAATAATTAAATCACAAAATATAGTAATGCCCCTCCCCCATCCCATCATACACAGAGTGTCAGGAAACACACTTGTCTGCAGGAGATGACTATTTCCCTCTCTGTGGCAAACAGGTGCCTGTGAGCATCTCCACACTCCCAGGCAGCATGGACACTGGGGATCTCAAAGCTGGTGTCATCGACATGGACTGGGTGAGCCCCTGCTGGACCAGTGGAACCTGCTGTCCCTCTGGCGAGAAGTGTTAAGGAGCACAGCCTCCCTAACACCCTCATCCTTTCCTTATTAAGAGATAGGCCCCTCTTGGTGGCATTTTCGCAGTAACTTTGGCCCTGGAGCATCTCTCAGACTCCTTTGGTGATTGGGGCATAGCTGGAGAAGCAATCCTTCACCTTTTCCAGGCTTATGGAGTTAGTAACAGGACGCAGGGCAGATGCCAAGAACTCACCAGAAGAAAAAAAGAACACTATATGCCCCCCACACGCACACACACATACACACAGCCAGAAAGTGTCACATCCTTTCCACCTCTTTTTCTCATTTGTATACTAATGGATGTAGGTTGTTACGGTGAGGGGCAAGGTTGAACTGAAGTGGGTAATTGCAACGTGGAAAAAAAGCTGACTTACACAAGCTTTAGGAATTTAATTCCCTGGGCTGAGTTTGATATATCATATCACTTCTTCTTTGTCAGAAGGTATCATTGAAGAAGAAAGTTTCCTAAGACTCTGCTTCTCCCTCCTCCTCTACATTATCTGGGAGCCCCAAGAGGACCAGGTCTGCTAACGACGTTGGGTCAGTGGGAACTGGTAGTAGAATCCAATTTGCCCAGGAATATGACATGGGAAGCAGCACACAGAGCCCTGGACTGTTGGTCCAGCCCCGCCGCTTGCCTGCTGTGTTGCCTTGTCTAAGTCACTGAACCTCTGTGCCTCAGTTCCTTCATCCATAAACAATAACCCTGTAATCTCCTCCTAGAACATGGTGAGAATTAAATGAGGTGATAGAGAAAGGCACTTCGTGTGAAATATTGGAGAAGATTCTCTGCCCTGCTGGTGCATGCCTGGCAGGGGCACAGGGTGACGCCTGTCCTGGTCAGCACTGATGAGGCCCAGCCCAGTGCCATGGTGGCCTGGGAGTGGATAAGAATGGGGAGCTGCCAGCCACCTACACTCCCTGAACTACCAGGTCGAAAGCCGTACCCTTGGGACACAGAGGGTCCCAGCTTGGGTGCTCAGAACAGAAGGCTCAAAGCACATGGGAAAACATGTGCTCATGCTGGCTGATTTCTTTTGAACAGAAAGGACCATGCTTCTGGGGGCACAGGGAGGGGGCCTCACAACAAATATAACACAGGAAAATGATGGCTATATGAATCTACCCTAAAATACTTGTAATCTCCAAGTGCTCCCCAGGCTCCCTATAGAGCATATACCCAGCTGTGCAGATGGGGAGGGGCTAGTCAGGTTGCCCCAAAGCTGTCCAGGAGCTGGGAATAGAATCTGAAGTCTGCTCCACACAGCACTGCCTCCACCTCTGGACACAGCATCCTCCCTCAGGCTGACCTCCAAGGGGCAGCGAGGACGGAGGAATAACCAGAAATATGGCTGCAAAGAGCAGGTTCTCAGAGGAGAAGCAAAGAAGCGAGGGTGGAGGCAGGTGGTGGCATGGGAAGACTACAGATTTTGGAGTAAGAAGTTCTGGGGTTGAATCCTGATTTTTTTCACCCAGCGGCTGTGTGGCCAGGGGCACATTACTCAGTCTCTCAGAGCCTCCCTTTCCTCATGCCTACCTCTCAGAGCTGGGTTATCCAGGAAGCTGATATATGTGTAAAGCCCACTTTGTTCCTAAGAGGTAGCCATGGATTCTCTCTGGCATGAAGTTGGAAACACGTGCATCTAGTTTCCCAAATTCTCTGATTGATAAAGGGAAAGGAATTATTAATTATTCCATTCCATGCACTGTGCTAGTGATTTCCTGTATACTATTTTATCTGCACAACTGGTTCTTTGAACTAGGTACTATTATTTTTACATTTTCGACATAAGGATATAGACATCCAGAAAGGTTAAGAAACTCGCTCCTGATCACACAGGAGCCAGTAAGTGGAGAAGCTGAGATTCAGGTCCTGGTCTGCGTGGTCACAGAGTACGAGCTTCGGGCTCCCTATCACACTGCACTAGGTCTCCTAGTACCAGGAAGTTAGGGCCACAAAGACCCCTCCAGCAACAGACACAGGTTGATCAGAAAATCAGTTAGAATTAGCATGACCATAAAATGTATCTTCCTAACCAGCATACTTCTGTTCTGTACACACAATAAACCAGATGGGATCACAGGACAAGCAAAAACCAGGAAGAAGAGTTACCCCAGTTTAGGCACACATAGCATAGGGAAAGATGATGTTTCAGCCTGTAATGTAGTTCATAGATTCTAAGACGCACTTTTCTCTGACAGTTAGCATCTTTATAATCACTGGCACCTTCGCTTTAACGAAATGTAGTAGTTAGAACCAATGGTGAACAGCTGGAATATATGAAGAGGAAGGAAGGCAGAGGATGAGGTTCTGTATTCCTCAGGGACCCTGACCTAGGAGGACAGCCACGGTGGGAGACACACAGGGTGGGCACCAAGGAAGGGGTAAAAATGTATGCAGGAAGAAGGAAGCCAGAGGTACACCCAAACACCATTCTGAGAAAGCCCACATTGGAGGGCAGATTTCTGTGGGGCATGGGGAAGAACTAGGATCAGTATATAGACAGTAAGATGCTACCAAGTCCTCGTCCTTGGTAGAATAATGGGTTGAATCAGCTCTGAAAGTTCTTGTTCCTTCTCAGATCACTGGTGGCTGTGCCCCAGCCCCTATTACATCTTTGCCCCAGTCCTTCACCTTCTACCTTGGATACCATGCTGGACTGGACAAAACCCAAGCTGGGGAGCCATGAACTCTGCTGGGCAGCACACTAGCAGAACTAAGCCACACATTTTTGCCCCAACTCACCACAGTATGGAGCCCTGGAAGTAGTTAAGAGGTAGACTCTCACTTCCTTGGGAAGTGGCTCTATCTTGACACCACCTTGTTCCACCAGCCCTGGAAGTCAAGAAGCAAAGACAGCAGAGCCCTGAGGCAACCATTTCAGGGTCCATGGCACCCAGCCACACAGTAATTAATTCATGCACCCATTCATCTGCAAACAGCTACCCTGCATGATTATTATATGCCATGCCCTATGGTGAGACCCAGGATGCATGCAACTCAGTCCAGTTGGGGATAAACACACAAGTAAACAGGAAATACATTCTTTAGATCACCTGGCCCATTCTCAGGAGGTATTTCTAAGAAATTTGAAATTATGTCTCCAACTTGCAAAACAATCTGCATAACAGTTGTTTAATGGCATTTATCTCCTGTGTAGTAGATGCACAGGAAGTGTTTGACCTGAATACTGGTTGGCAAGTGGGGAAGGGCATTCTGGGCAAAGAGTACAGTTTGAGTAAATGCACAAAGAGTAAGCAAACAAACATGGAATACTCTTGGGAGTACAAGTAGTTAGCATCCCCAGGGTGTTCAGTGTCAGTGAAAGTGTAGTGAGAGATGAGGCTGGGTACTGTGTGAAGTGGTTGTTACACCAGCCAGTCTGTCACACCTGGGGGAAATCATGACATATGCCCAATGAGTAGGAAGCACATTGGCTTGCTTTATTGTGGGCAGCTAGCCCTACTTTACCATCTTGTCACGCTGAAATCCATTTCATTCATGTAAGCAATGGCAGGCTACTATAGTTGAGTGGCAGCCAGTGATGAGAAGTGAGAGAAAGAAGGAGGGCAAGGAACATTTACACTTTCCAGAGTGTTTCCTGGAGCCCTTCATTCTGTATAACCTCAGGGTGTTCCCAGCAGTGATCTGACTGGTGAGTCGTCACCAGATCCCTCAGCCTTCCCCGTGCTGTTCTCCTCAGAGAGTCCTGGAGGATCCAGGACTGTGCCTGAGCTGACCAGCAATTAGGCATCCCTCCAGCTGGCTTGTGGCCACCACAGCCTCACACCTTTAAAGGGAGCCATATGTGCCACTCTTGGGGACTTCTCCATAACACCTTGATTTAGGGACTATCAGGAGTTCAGGAATGGCTGGCCTAGCTAAAAAGGTCTATGTCATGCCTCCAGTTTGCAAGTGGGGTCAAGGACTCTGGACTATACCAATATTTCCAGAGAATGTCTTGAGGCTGGGCTTGCAGGGGGTGGGCTATGTACGTGAAGGATATGTACAGGGTGAGTATGGCATCAGGCAGCAGTACACAGAGTGAGGGATGGGACACAGAGGGCCAAATGCCATCATCCAGGTTAGAACAGGCTAAACACCCCATCAGTTAAACGTTTTTAATCCCATTTGGGTAGATTTCTTGACCATCGGAGATCAGGACTTAAAGAGGTGACAACTAGCAAGACTTGAAGTTCCCCAAAATTGTCAAAGGAAGCAAAGAGGTAGCATTTACCAATCCTTGGGCAGGAAAGCAGAAAAGGGTTAAAACAATCCAAACAGTGTCCAGCCAGGAAGGCCTTGTAGCTGGCACAGGGAAAGGCCACCAAAGGACAGGAATTTTCCAGGGCGCTGATGTAGAGGTATACAGCCCTCATGTGATCACAGATTAAGTAACTGTAGCCTGAACAGGGTGGGAAACACAACCAAGGTTTCAGTTCAAGGCAAAGTGAAATTCCAAGTTTTACTTTTCAGACAGCTCTCCATACATGTGATGTCCCCTGAAGAATATAAATAGATATGGTTATTGCATTTTTTTCATTTTCATTTTCCACAGATACCTATGCTTAATTTATGAAGAAAATGCTGAATTTGAGACCCATTTTTCCACGGTTGTGCCAACTCGTTTTCAGAAAATGGGAGAATACTGACTTGGTGATTCTGACCCCAGTTATCAACATGAATATCTGTCTGCACACTTTACTTTCTTCATCATCACTCACACAGGCAATATTTTTGCAAAAAAAAAAAAATTTTTTTTTTTACAATCTCATTATACCCGGTCCAGCAATGAGACAATCGAAGGTGTCAGCAGCGAGCAGTTAGTTCATAGCCAGTCTCTCAAAGCCAGTGTGCTGAGGCTCACCTGGTCAAATGACTGACATGCTCTCCTTGCCCCAAATGTTCCAATGTAAAAAAAAAATTGGTTTTCTTCTAATTGATTTTGTTTACTACTTAAAATTTTGCAATAACTCATACTGGATAAATTGGCTAGAGATAAGAAGTCTGCAGTGAGCCACAACTCCAGTATTCTGGCCTCTTCAGATGCTCCCTTCACCTTGGAACAATCCCGGCCCTCCAACTCTGAAATCAGCAACCACGTCTGAGTTGTGTGTTGATGTTCCTGACCCCTCATGGTTGGGACACTCTATGGCCAGCCACTCTCATTCTAGCTGCAACAGGGAGCTGGGAGACACAAGCTAAGCATTTCTCAAATTGTGTTATGAAAAAGAGAGAGAGAGAGAGAGAGAGAGAAGTGGCCAACTGAATGCCACAGAAATTTTCAAAAGCCATTAAAACCACACTATCTCGTCTGATCAAAATTGCTGGAAAAACCTATAAATTGTTAAAAGGAACATGTTTTTGTAAACTCAGAAAATTTAGGGGATTTGATTAGTGGTTTAATACGATTGTCAAAAGAATCCTTAAAATGTCAAAAATTTGGTGAAACAGGGAGGGACTAAAAAGACAGTAAACAGAAATCAGGATAAACTTCCTAAATGAAATGCTGATAGTTTGGCAATATTCACAAGAATATAAGAAGACTAAACAATCCTTAGTACTTAACATTTGAGAAACTTGGTGTTTTTAAAGTGATGCAAGAATATATTCAATGAATATGTGTATATTCATAAAGAACATTTGGAAACATATATTTAGGAAAAAAGAAAGGTACACTTATTAAATTTACTCCAGAAGATGATCTTGAAAACAGGTCTGGAGGGTTGTTAAATTTAGTAAGTTTGGGATATGGCCACGCAGTGAGTTCAACCTTTGGCTACCTAGCTCTGGGCAGGTTGGTCTACTTCTGTCACAACTAGGCTGTGTAGAGTGATTAGCTAGTGCGGACTACACCACAAAGCGGGACCCAAGAAGAATAGAGATTATTGCCTTGAGTGATGTTATATCATAGTAGGGCCTAAGAAGTGTGGAGGACAGCATAGGTATAGAGCAGGCTTTTAATTTCAGTCACTTCTCCCCCAGAACTCCTGGGCTCCAAAGACATCCATTCAATAAATGCTAAGTAAGGCATTATGGGACAGAGTAAAGGACGCTTGGAGGAAGACCTTCTGTGGCACACACTAGCTGACTCAACACAAAGGCTGTTGGTGAATTCTGGTCTCTGGGGAAACCAAACACCAACTCTCTCTGGCTTTCTGACCTGCATGAATGAAGGTGGGACACCCAGGTTGGTCTTGGCCTCCATTGACGAAGTAGTCCACATGTCCGACAGGAATCCGAATACCCAAATCTGAAAAAAGACAGAACCCCGTTATCTTTTCTTACTACAGGGGCATATTGTCTAGGTCCCACAGCAGAGTCCACTGGCAGCAGAGCCTGAGGTGTGACTTTCCTAGCCCACCCACTCCCTGTGCTGAATGAGTCCCTGTCTCACTCCTACGTACTCTGAGAAAGCAGAACTAGCCCTTAGTTTTCTAAAGAGCGTTTGCTGAAAGAAAGCACAGAGTAAATTCATAAGAAGATGTTCATAGTTGCCTAATAAAAATCAAGAAAGATGTCCTTTAACATAAGTTTTAATAAATCCGTAAATGTTATAAGATTGGTAAATTTCCTTGTGTAAGTTTTTATTTTGTTTCAAGCAATAATTCAGATATATATATTTGGGACCACATTTCCCCATTCTCCCACATGTTTGTGCTCTCCTGACAGCAAAAATATGACCTGGCCACAAAGAGACGAGTTTGAGAGACTGTAGACTTCCTTTCATCATCATGACCGTATATGATCCCTCAGACTGGGTCAGATCTAGCTGCCAAAGACACTGATTTTCTCCTTCATATCATCTATCATTATTGTAAGCAACTGATTGTATATTATTTGTTTAATGCCATCTATCCAGGGATTAAACGATGACCTAGAAGTTTTCCTCGATTCCTCCCTTTTCCTCACTCCCTATATCACATGTCTGGTCAGCTCTACCTCCAAAATATATTTTGAATCTTTCTACTTCTTTCTGTCTCTCTTTGACTAAGCCACCGTCATCTCTCACCATCCCCTCTCGTTCTTCTAATGTGCCTCTCGGCTTCTCTTAGTGCTTTCCTTCAGTCCATTCTCTGCACAGCAGCCACAGTAACCTTTTAAGAAAATCTTGATCACCTCCCTATTCTCACTGATCATATAATAAAATTTAAACTCCTTGCCACGGCCAGTCTAGTCCTGCTCCTCTTCCCCAACATCACTCAGCACCTCCCTCCCACGATGCACTCTGCCCTGTCCCCATCCATGTCCAGGCTTTCATTTTGGCTGTAGGATGTTCCTCTCCCAGCTCTTCTCAGGGTTGACTCATTCACGACTGCAAAGTCTCACCTCAAATATCATGTCTTTGGACAGGCTGTCCTCAATAATTCTACTTAAAGTAGACCCCCTACCTAAGTCATCCTCTACCTCATATCCTTCCTTATCATGATCACAATGTGTAATTATCATGTCTGTTTACTTCTTTGTAAACCCCATAATAGCGGGGTCTTCTATTTTTTGCTATATTCCCAATTCCAGCACAGTACCTGGCACATGTGAAAGCTGAATAAATAATAATTATTGAAGGAAGAAATGAATGGATGCTTGCTCAATTAGCCTGTGAGTTCCACGTGGGCAGGGACTTTATCAGATGTCTGTTCCCAGCAGTGCTCTCAGCACCTGCTGCATAGCTCAATAAAGACTGAGATGAATAGGATGAGTTTTTCTTCCTTTGGTCACATTAAGAGGTTTTGACTCTGAAAGGCACTGAGAAGCGTAGCTCATGTAAATAGGGGCCTAATAAGTCACCTGTTTAGCAAATTTAGGGACAGAAAGTGTTACTCTTGTTTATTAACATGGTTAATTAACCCAGCATCTTGGCAGAAGCCTATGGGCTCAAGTTTCCTGTCTGTGAGATGAAGGGAGGAGAGGTTTGAACCATGTGAAATTGCATGGGTTTCTTCCAGAAGCATCAGTCTGTGAATCTTGGATGCTAAAAGAAGACTCCTGGCCAAAGAGAATGAAACATGGACAACTCTCACTTGAACTACAACCACTTTCAGTAGGGACAGATATTGTTTCTTCTTGTACCCACCATGCTGAGCACAAGGCCCGGCACAGACTCACGGGCATTTGATAGGGAGTTGAAATGAGGAGGAATGCCCAAGCCCCTCCCCAGCTGGTCAGAAGAGCTTAATTTGGTCATAGTGGTTCAGAGTTGAGGGTCTTTCCTGTGTCTGTCACTGCTGGAGAGGAGAATTTTCATTCTTCCCTGGACTGAAGAACAGGGTTTGTTCCCCGGGAGGCCTGAGAATAGGCCCCAGGAGTAGAATATCCCAATCCCCCGGGGCTAAGGCACAGTCATCCTGAAAAAGCAGCGTGACTTCCCCGTAAGCCAGCCGGGCAGAAGTACCCACCCTGGCACTACCTCAGCATGAGGGTTAGTGCTGAATCAGAGAGTGAGACTGCTCTGCAAATGAGAAACCTCCATCCTGCTGCTGGCTAAAAACAGAACTACTTGTCTCATTGCTAAGAAAATGGCAGAGCAAAACATAAAAAATAAAATAGTAAAACAAATAAAAATTTAAAAAAAGAAAACAGAGCTGCAAGGTGCTGGGAAACACCCTGCTGTGCAACAGAGGATTGGAGGGAGAGGGAACCTACCCGGGGCCACGCAGCCACAGGGGCCACCCAGTGCCTGCCCTGTGCTCATTCCCCCGCCCCAGGAAGGACCTCCCGGCTCACTGTCGGTGTCTGTGTGGATGGCTTCCACGAACAGGGCATCTCCAGCGTCCAGGCGCTCCTCCAGGCTGGCTCTGGTGTACTCCGGTCCAGCAGGGTCCAGGCCTGCAAGCACAGGCTGACATCAAGGCCCCCTTTCCTCTTGGCCACAGGATCCACTGTACACCTACCTTGGCAGCCATTCCAGTTCAGAGCCCCTCAATGAGGACACCAAATGTGGAGAACTAACTCAGAACCCCCATACCCAGGGACCCCCACTCTACTGTCTGTAACTTTCCAATGACCCAACTTCTCTGTCTCTACAGTGAGTTTGATAACACCAATCATTTGGTAAGGGTTAATGTGGATGATATTAATCCTCAAGTAGTAGTAATAAGAGCTATGATTTTTTTTTAGCAGTTATTATGTGCTGGGCAGTTTTACATATTCTAATCCTCACAAAACACAATGAAAGAAATACTGCTATCTTCATGCTTAGTTTGGACCCCTTCCCTTTCTCCCCCTTATAAAAGCAGACCCTGAGACAAGGATTCAAAATGCAAGTAGCTTATTTGGGAGATCACAGAAAGCATAGTGAGGGAGTAGGAAATTGAGTCATAGAATGAAGGACATTTTTTAATGAATGGAGTATCACTTTGGGCACGTAGGTCCCATCCCACTGGGACTCCTCTGAGGGACTTTTAGAACAGGACTCGGAATTGCCCCATTGCAAGGTAATTGCCACACACACAACTCTAGCCCTTCATTAATTGGGGATAGCTTCTGAAACATAAAGCATACTGCACTTCTGCAAGTACTCAGCATACCATTTAAAGGTAATTTCCACAGTGGTTCAAGAAGATATCCTAATATGAGCTGTTCTAACCCATCTTACTATTAACCAAAAAATAAAAGGTCTTTCAAGGAGAGACACTAACCGAATCACTGATTCAGGCAGAAACCAAATTAATCTTCCCATCAGGAGACAAGGCAAAGGGCATTGATGAGAAAGGGAAGAGGAACTATTACCTCAGTAGAAGAAAGGCATTTCTATTGATGCAGATAAGCTAACATCATGACAGTAATTCTAAACAGTGTTTTCAGTTTTTGGTTGGATAGTGATCAGGCTGGTAATCATAATATCTGCTTTCCTGTTATCCTTGCAAACAGTTTTTTGAGACACAATGGTTGCTTCCAGCCCAGTCCAAAGGTTATTTTGCCCTGTTTTAACATTCCAAAGGTTTGAGACATAAGATGTACAAGGCAGGTCTTCTGGAATATCAGTTCTGACTCCATTTTAAAGTGTCTCCATTTATTAATTTTTTACGTTACAGATGTAGAAACAGGTTTAGTAAGAACCTCATGGCTCCTTACACTGATATTAGAGATCATGCAATAATAACACAACACCATTTTATGCAAAAGGGCCAAAATAAATAAATTTTAGTGGTCGTAGATGATTTGATTATAATACCAAAAGGCTTCTGCAGACTCCCCTCTGCTTGCCTCAGCAAAGTCATTTCCAGGACATTCTCTCTCTTTCTCTAAACCTGGGAGAATGGGTAGAGAAGAATGTTACCTGTGATCCGTCCCAGCTGGCCTTTGTAGAAATGTCCCACCATGCCCCCAACATGGGCCCCCAGGCTCACACCAATGATGTGGATGGAGGATTCCGAAACACCCAGCTCCTACAATGGACATTTTCAGTGGGTTGCATTTGGGTCCCAGCAACCCTTGGCCTCACAGGGTCACATTTCCTCCTGAGTCTTTAGCGCCAGAGGGCCCTGGACATGACACAGGGCCCACACATGCATGGGTGGGGAAGCAGGGCAGAATTCTTATCCCAGTAGTCCCTTGCCTTCTTCCTGGGCTCTCCATGTTAGCAATCCCCTTACTTTTTCCTTCGGTGCCCGGTGTGAGTCATGACCATGGCCATTTGTTCTGAGGGGTGACTAAAGCCAGTCACAGCTCCACCCCCCGCCCCCGACATGCAGGGGCCCAGTCGACAGAGAAGGAGAGGAGGTTCAGAAGTGACTGATAAGTCACTAGGTGGTTCTGCTTCCACCCTAAAGCTCCTCCTCATGTGCTTGTTATTTCTTTCCTTCTAACCACTCTCTCCTTCATGAGCAGCTCTATTCACCTGAGGCTCTTCTGCACCTACCAGGAGTTTATTGAGGAAACGGGAGATCTCAAGTCCCAGCTTAACCACATTTTCCACAGCTGAGAAGTAGGCAGCTGTAGAGCCGTACACCCAGTCCACAGCAATGATATTAGTGTCTGCTGCTCTCAGAAGGGCACTGATGAACTTCTCAATCCAGGAAGGCTTTGTTCCTAAAGCCCTAGACATGGGGCCAAGATAGGACAGAAAAATTACCGACCAAATCGATATCCACTGTCATGGAAACTTAGGTTAACAGAATAAACCCAGGGGAAAAAAAGTCAAAACTAGGGATAGGGGATATATGGGTAGTAAATCACACAGCACTTTGAGCATAGGGAGGACACAATCCCAAAATGACCAGGGCTTCTGCCTGCATGTACGGAGCCTTTGTATAGATTAAGATACGGTGCCTTCTATCCGGGTAGACACCGCTTCCTGCTGGGGCTCAGAACTCAGGCTGCACTTCAACCCCACCGGCCCTTAGCCCTTTGTGTAAGGCATAAACTACACAAACCATATACACTGGCCCCGCTTGTGTTACAGGAAAGAAAAGATAGATTTGTGCATTAGCATTAAGGTTTGCTATCTTAATTCTCATTCTAGAATACAGCAATTTCCTCGAGGATATTTTTATTTATGCATTCATTTGTTTTTTCCTTCATTTATTCAACAAATAGTTCAGGCAGTACACTAGGTTCTTTGCAAGACATTTTAAAAAAAGTAAAATATAGTCCCTATTGTTCTGGAACTTACAGTATAATAGCACTTTTTTGGGAAAAAAGAGAATGGTTTTTAAAAATTCAGAAAGCTTTTTTCCCAAGCAATTAGGGTGAAGAAAGAAGTTTTCTCAGTGGCCCACGGTACAGGAATAATCCAGGTTTGCTCATGGGAACAGAGGAGCACAGACTGGGTAATTGCCATACGATGTGGCTCTGGGTAATCTTGGAGCCTGATGGGCTTTCCAGATCTACCAGCTGTCCCTGGGTTGAGAGTACACACTGTTTTGGATGGTGGCTAAATGTAAGATTTGCTAGGGGACAGACTTAGGCACAACAGTGAGGAGGGATGGATGCCTAAGGGAGGATGTGGCTGAGTCCATAGAATGTGGGTATTTGAGAAACAGAGAGAACCCAGAGATGAGGAGATGGTGATCCTTTGTGCAGTGCCTCTGTGTCCACCTCGTCACTGGGTACTCCCAACTCTAGTTGCTCTATAATGCTACTATTTTACCACATTGTCTTCCTCTTTCCTCCTAGCAACTTGTTCTGGCCTTGTCAGAGGGCTTTGGAGAGATGATATTGAAAGGAAGGATGAGGATTAAATTGAGTCTCAGTGACTACATATCACAACAAAATTTAGACTACAGATCACCAAAGAAATTGAAGAAATGTCTAACGTCTGGGTATGATGAAAATAGCACCCATATGTGGGAAGTTTCTTAGGTTATAAAACCAGGGGAGAAATGAGAAAATAAAGTTCTGGGTTATAAAACAAAAACAAAAAACCCAGGCTGTTACCCCTGAGTGATTATGCAAAGCCTATGACTTCGCTGGGTTAGATGAATCATACAACAACGCCTCAGGGGGGACAGGATCCCTGAGGTCATCTCTATAGACTTCCTTTTATTCCATATGGAAACCATGCTCCACATGCTGGAGTGATTTTTCCAAGATTACACATATTTATTGTTCAACAGGGTGTAGACAAGGACTGAGGGGAGGAATAACATATATGACCAACAAGAACGAATAACATAATGTGTGTTCATGTTGATAAGACACCTTTACAGACAGTAGGAGGTGAGGAATGGACATGTGACTGCCAATAAATTCATTTCTCCTCTTACTCTCCACTAACTTCCTGTGGTCATTTTCTAGTTCTTAGCACAGGCAATCCTGTTGATTGGTTTGTTCCCACCTGAATCCATGGATAATTAGTTTGGTTCCCAGAGTGACATTGAACCCAGAGTTTTGGAGGTCACTACTTTCTTCAACTAGCTTCCCACAGCTGGGATCCGAAGGGGTGAAGAGAAGGAACTGGACTTTGAGATTGGTGCCTCGGAGGAGGTTGGCATTTTGGAAGTCAGTGCACTTTGGCTGTTGGGTAGGAGGTGTATCTCCTGGAGGAAAACAAAGCAAACAAAATAAGAGCAATCCCAGGTGAGGTCATCTGTTCTTTAAAAAAAGAAGTGTTCCAACCTGTGGGCATGGACGATAGTGTGGGGATTGCCTGAGGGAATGGTGGGGGGCTGAGTGGAAGAGGGCAAAGGGGAAAACATTGGGACAACGGTAATAGCATAACAATAACATAATTTTAAAAAAGAAAAAGAAAGAAAAGTGTTTTTGATTGGTTTGCAAGCTGGTGCTCAGTACGCTGAGCCACACCAGCTAAGGCTGAAAGGTGTTTTTGAAAGGAAGGAAGAAATGGACTTACAGGCATTGTGTATTAGCTGAATTTCTACCTATAATATAAATATGTTATATACATAAATTTCTATATATAATCAGACTCATTTATTAAAAGCTGCATCATTTCTGAAACCAAAATCTGGGAATATTTTTCTTGTCTAAAGATAACATGCAAGAGATGAATATGAACATTGCTCAACTATAGAAGATTAAAGGCCACAGTGAAATGGATACTATTATGGACTAAACTGAGTCACCCTATAAATCCATATGTTGAAGACGTCACCTCCAGTGCCTCAGAATGTGACTCTATGTGGAGATAGAGTCTTTACAGAGGTAATTACATTAAAAGGAGACCATTGGAGTGGGCCTTAATCCAATATGACTGACCTTCTTATAAGAAGAGGAAATTTGGACACAGACACAGAATAAAGAAGGCACAAGGAGCAGATAGCCATCTACAAGCCAAGGAGAGATCCTTCCCTCACAGCCCCCAGAAGGAAAAACCCTACTGCCACCTTGATCTCAGATTTCTAGCCTCCAGAACAGTGCGTTGATAAACTTCTGTTGTTTAAGCTACCCAGTCTGTGGCATTTTGTTATGGCAGCTCTAGCAAACTAACACAGCTTTATAAAATAAATAAAAACAAACAAACAAACAAAAAACCTAGGCAACAAAATAAGCAGTTGCGCTGGGACTAGGCTCACTGTGGCCTCAAGGCCCCAGACCAGCTTCATCACTTCTCACCCTTCTGAGCCTCCAGCACCCAGCCCGTGGCTCCTGGCCAGATGTCAGAGGAGAACTTTAACAAGTGTACCTACTCTACAGCTCCTCACAATAGATACATTTAAATGGGATATTTTATGGTCAAGGTTATTGAAGGGCCTTTTAAAATACTGAACTGAAAAAGGGCAGCATGAATCTCCTGCTTCCCAGGGAGCTGAAAATCTGGCCCGTCTTCAATACCCAACATCCCACCCTATGTCCGCTTCTGTGGCAAAGCGGTGTGGCACCCAGCTCCCCGCATGGCTTAAAGGGAGGGAACTATCGTAGCAGCAGGCACACACTGGCCCAGTCACAGCACTGCCAGTGGCCACCTTGCATTCCTGCCATGGGACAAAGGCATCTACAGACTTAGAAAGGTCCAGACTGCAGTCTTCGGTTTGTGCACATGCCTTCATGAAGAAGACAGCAATTTCCGTTTTCTGGAATGGTTATCTGCCTTCAGAAACTGGGGAGCACATATACAAGAAGCACATGGACCTGGGGTACACTGGGATGCGGTACCATGAGCGGATTGTGGGAACCCTACCTTTAGAGAGTACTGAAGTACACCAGTGGTTTCACCACCTCTGTGGGTGAGCCCCAGACCTGGTCTTCAAGGCCTCTTGCATGTTCCTTCTTGGACACCCTGGCCTGCAGTCCCCATCCCCTCAGCCTACTTGAATTCCCACAGCACACAAGAAAGACGCCTACCTCTAAGACCTCCTCTGCCTTCCCCAGCCTCTGTTTTCTTAATGAAAAAAATGAAAGGACTCTGCTTGAGCATTAGACTTGAACAGCATAAATGAGCAACTTTGCTCTATTGGTCATACAGGGAAACCCGCTTCCATTAAATAAAGAACAATGCAACAACTCCAAATAAAATATAGGAAAAGAACTATAAAGGAAATGGTGGAAATTAAAGAAAACATTGGCATATAAATAGCACTGTTAGCATCGCAGTTGCTTAAGCAAAACTTCGTGTAGACATCTCTGACACCTCCCTTTGTCTCACACCTCACCTACAAAGGGTGAGGAAATCCTATCAGCTCTCCCCTCTGAACGAGATATTCAGGATTAAGTCATTCTCACTACCTACAGTAGCCCCCACTTATCCATGGGGAATATCTTCCAAGATCCCCAGTGTATGCCTAAAGCTGCAGACAGCACCAAACCCACTATATATATGTTTTTTCTAACCTATGATAAAGCTTAATTTATAAGCAGAGTAAGAGGTTAACAACAATAACTAATAATAACATAGAACAATCATGACAATAGACTGTAATAAAATTTAGGTGAATATGTTCTTGCTCTCAAAATACCTTACTATCCTTCACTCACCCTTCCTCTTGCAATGGTATGAGATGGTACGATGCCTGCGTGATGAGACGAAGTGAGGTGCCAAGAACTGCGTACAATTTGAAATGTATGAATTGTTATTTATGGAATTTTCCATGTGATGTTTTCTGATCGTGGTTGATGACAGCTAACTGAAACCACAGAAAGAAAAACCATGGATAAATGGGGGCTATGTGTATTGTTGCCTCCTTGGTCCAAGCCACCATCATCTCTCAGAACTGCTTTTCCTGCCTTCACTCTTGGCTCCCTTCAGTCTATATGCAACACAGTAGCCAAAAAAGTAAGTCAAATAGTATCATATCTCTGCCCAAAAGACTGGAAGGCATTTCATTTAAAATAAAATCCAAGATTGTAACTAAGGACTAAAGCCATAAAGGGTCCTCTTAGCTCCTCTTCCCAGCCTGGAGTGTCTCTCCGCAGACACCCACTTGGCTAATTCTTCTCTTCTCCTCCTTCAAGTCTTTGATGTCAAATGTCATTTTATCTCTTTTAACCACCGTATTTAGATTGCAACCTGCCTATACTCCTCACCCCAGTTCTTTCCATTTTCCTTATCTTGACCTGTTTATTTTTTTGTAATAATCACCTCCTAATATGCTATAAAATGTATTAGTTTACTACTAAACTTCTGCATATCGATTTCCCAACATTAGAATATACTTTCAGAAAAGGCAGAAAGTTTTATCCATGTTTTTTCACTCTACTGCCTAGAATAGTACCTGCCACAGACAATAAACACCAAGAGCGGGCTCTTTGAAAAGAATAATAAACTAGATGTACTTTTGATAAGACCAAGTTAAAAAAAAAAAGGAAATTCACAAGTAAACAACATAGAAAAAAAGGGATATAAATACATTAGATTTTATTAAAGATTTTATTTATTTTTATTTTTAGACAGAGGAAGGGAGAAAGGAAGAGAGGGAGAGAAACATCAATATGTGGTCGCCTCTCATGTACCCACTACTGGGTACATGAGAGGCAACCCAGGCATGTGCCCTCACTGAAAATCCAACCAGTGACCCCTTGGTTTGCAGGCCGATGCTCAGTCCACCGAGCTGCACCACCCAGGGCTACATTAGATTTTGAAACCATAAAAGAGCATGTTTATATACCCACTCAAAGGTTTAAAATACAGATATTTTCCTAGAAAATGAATAATGACCTATAAAAATATAGCTTGCTGAAAAATATTCAAGAAAGAAAAATAAAAGTCAAATGTAAAAGTGTAACACAGAGGAACTGAAACAATACTTTTAAAACTATTCATCAAAAAAACCCCTACCAGGTCAGTTTTACAGAGACATTCTCCCAAGCCTTCAATTCCTGTTTTATACACACACTGTTCCAGAAAATAGAAAGGGGGAGAGAGAATCCAAAATCATTCTATAAAACCAACCAAAATAGCAAGACAAAAAACGGAAGGAGAAAGAGAAACTAAAGGCCAATTTCACTATTAAACATAGATATAAAAACCATAGATAATATATCAGCAAATCCAAATCCATCAAGGATAACAGAACAAAAACACATCATGGCCAAGAAAAGCTTAATCCAAGGAACAAAAAGATGGTTTACCAACATGATAAAATTTAGCACCCAAGAGTGCATAGCATAAGAAAGGGTATCTAGCAAAAGCCCATGGCGATGATTACACTTATTGGTGAAACATTAGAAGCATTCCATTCAGAACTAGTAACAAATGAGAATGTTTGCTATCGCTGTTTCTGTTAAATATTGTGCTGGAAGTCCTAATCCCAGGAAGTGAAACAAGGCAATAAAATGGAGTGATTTCATAAAGTTTAAAAAGAAAACATTTAAATTTACAAAGAAAAGGAGGGGGCTTCCCGCCAACATAGAGGCATTGGTAGGTATACTTTGCCTCCCCACACAACCAAAAGAAGGACAACAACAAATTTAAAAACAAAAAACAACCAGAACTGCCAGAAAATTGAACCTGAAAGGAAGTCTGAAAACCAAGAAGTTAAGGAAGAAACATTCATCCAGGCTGGTAGGAGGGGCAGAGACAGGCAGCCAGGGAGGAGAGGACACGCGGCATGGAGGCAGCTGGCGGTCCCACATTTGCATGCAGATAAACCAGGAGGAACAACAAGGGAACAAGACAGACTGTGCAACCCAGGGTTACAATGCAGGAAAAGAAAGCCTCAAAACCTCTGGCTGTAAAAACCTGAGGGGTTTGCAGTGGCGGGAGAAACTCCCAGCCTCACAGGAGAGTTTGTTGGAGAGATCCACAGGGTCCTAGAACGTACACAAACCCACCCACCTGGGAATCAGCACTAGAAGGGTCCAATTTGCTTGTGGGTAGCGGGGGAAGTGACTAAAATCCTACAGAGAGCTGAGCAAACAGCATTGTTCCTTCTTTGATCCCTCCCCCACATACAGAGCCACAATGCAGCAAATGTAAGTTGCCCTGCCCTGGCTGAATACCTAAGTCTCCACCCCTTACAACATAACAGGTGTTCTGAGACAAAGAGATATCGCCCAAATGAAAGGACAGATCAAAGCTCCAGAAATAAAACTAAGCCACGAGGAGAGAGCCAACCCATCAGATGCACAGCTCAAAACACTG